CCTCCGCAACAGCGTCCGCCTCGGAGCCGCCTGGAGCGTCAGAACCTGCCGTCGAGCCAGCAACGCCTATCAAAGTCGATCCCGAATTGCTTGAGTCGGACGAAAACCACCTGATTGCTACGCTCGTGGGCTGCAATCACATTGTCCACGATCGTTGCATCAGGAGCTGGGCAAAGAACTCCAACACCTGCCCCATCTGTCGCACGACCTTCAACGAAATCAGTCTGTCAGCTGAGCTAGATGGTATGGACCAGCACCGCCTCGCGCACCACCCACTCGACAGCAGCCCTGCTAACCCACCATGCTTCTCTCTAGGACCCGAAATCGACCTCTACTCCGTCGAGGACAAGAAACAAACGCACGAATTCGATCTCCGCCAGTGGCTGCAAGAAAACCCAGAGGAAGAGGAGCCCGAAGAAGAGACGCCATGCCCCATCTGTGGCATGGCAGAACGCCCCGACATCCTGCTCCTCTGCGATGGCTGCGACGCCGCCTACCACACCCACTGTGTTGGTCTGAATTACGTTTCCGTTTCTCTTGTGATTGCCTGGAGTGCGTCGACATATTCAGACCTGCGGCTGCCTCCGACAGCACGTCCGACTCGGACGTGCGGGCGATCGCCCCAGCACGAACCACCGCCGACCATTTGTGCGCACACGAGAACGTCAGAGGCGTGCGAGGCGCCAGGCACGGTCCGTCGAGTGGCAAGGCGCTTGGGGCCAGATCGCTGGGCGTATCTTCGAGGCCACCGATATCGACCTCGACAACTACGAAGACGACGACAGCCTCGAGGGTTTCCGCCGCACGCAGCAGCAGCGTGAGCGGGAATCTCGTGAGTACCGCGAGTGGGAACAGCGCTTGCAGATCGCCAGCCGACAAGGTGCTGGAGAGACATTTGCCCGAAGCATCCCCCGCGCCATAGGCGAGCGCCTAGACATCGTGCAGCCTGTCCAGGAAACCGCCGAGAACGTCTCGCGTGGGGCGCCTTGGATAGAGCTCGCCAGTCCGCGAACAACAATAGCAGCAGCAGCAATCGCACGGTGACTCCCAACAGACGAAAGCGAAAGTCCCGGTCTGCATCGACGTCTCCCGCGAAGCCGCCGCCGCCGCAGAGACCGGAGCGAAAGTCCAAACGCCCTCGCACTCGCAGATTGCCGATTCAGGGTGAGGCATCGGGGGTCGGGGACCTTAAGGCCCTGCGGCAGCGGTGGCGGCTGCCCCCTGTTGGCCGTTCCCGGCTCCTGCTCCCGCTCCTTGCTCCTTCCTAAGGGGGACTTCCGCCCAACCAACCCCCAGGAAATTCAGCCGTTTCCGGGGAAAAAGGACCATCCTTCTCCCCAATCAATGGGGTCGGCGAAGAAATCCCGTGCCAACTCGGGGCAACCACGGCGGGCACCAAGTTTTCCTCTCTCCTTGTTGAAAGAGGTCGAAATGAGCACGCCATCAGACGAGGAAAACGCCCGGCTCTTTTTTTCAACTCGCACAACGTGTGAAGGCGTCGTCGCAACAAACTTCGCCTCACGGCCTCGGTGGGAAATTCACGGAGTCTGTCGCTCACTCACACTTTACTCGCGAATGCATCAGCTCAGCTCTATGTGGAGCCGTGTATCCGAAGCGAATTACTCGCCAAATCGCCAAGCAGGCGACACGAGCGACTCTGAAAGTCGCGCCCGCCAGCACCGACACACCCATTCTGACATTCGCCAGCCTCGGCCCGGCGACCTGGCCAGCTGCATCGTCCCCAACGCGACCACGATCCCAGGTCGTCTCCCCCGCATCTGACTTAAGCAGGGAGGAGAAGGAGCGGGTAAGCGCATTCGTCAAGTCTGCGCTGAAGCCCCACTGGGACATTGAAGACCGAAAGATTACCGCCGAGCAGTACAGCAACATCAACCGCGACGTCTCGCGCAAGCTCTATGATGGACTCCGTGACCCAGCCATGGCCGAAGACAAGGCGCAGTGGGAGGCTCGCGCCAAGGAAGAAGTGACGCGGGCCGTGGCTGCTCTTCAGCAAGCCATTCCGGCATGACCGATCGGCGAGGGTGCATCGGACGAGCTCAGCCGGATAAACTTGTGCGGACTTGGGTGGCGTCTTCCACAGAGCGAATGGATCATTTGAGACGAACGATATGGTAGGCGTTTTCGGTCATTAGGCAACGCAGGCGGCATTTAGATACCCTTGGGCGACACGGGCCCCAACCGGCCCCAACGGGCCTTGAGATTTGAAAGAAAACTGGTGGAACGGCGTCAATACTTTGGCTTGGATTGTGTGTATTTTCCCACATGGTCGGCGAGGACTCAAGGCTTTGCATTCGCGGCTCCGTGGTGGGCCTCGGTGACCGTCCGAGTCGTATGTGATACATAAGATAGATAAATCGACTGCTACCCGAAATTTGAGATGCTTCTTGTGCACAGGTGTAACATCTGAGGACCATGGGCCGCGACGAGTCTTATCTGTGCGTTCATGAGGATTTAGCAGATTGGCCCACAAACCAAGGCAGGCCTCCGAGTTGCGCGGCGTCACACTCTCCACGGCTTTTTTTTTTTTTTTTTTTTTTTTTGCGAACAAGCAGCGATGGGAATCGATGAGATAAAATACAGGCATCGATGAATCATTGGAGCCAGCTGTCGACCAAAATCAGGCGAAGGGGCATGCAGCGGGCGGTCCCACAGACCGCACGGCGGAAATCACGGAACGAGGAATAGTATGTTAGCAGTATCTATCTAACAGCAACCCGGTAGACGTAAATAACGGCAGGTACCGCTAGCGAAAAAAGACTGCGTTGTTCGTTCTCGGCACTCGTAAATGATCAGGACGTTCTGGAGGTGGAACAGGTCTTGACGATAAGGTAAATGGTGCCTTGAAGAAAGAAAAAAAAAAAAGGAGAGAAAGGGAAGAAAGAGCAGAGGGAGGGGCTGGAGACGAGATATGGGGAGTGAACCCTCGCCCGCCTGTAGGTTTCGGTGCGTGCCTGAGGCTGGACAGTCGCCCGTGGTTGAGCCGGTGGTTAGGTAAGCCGCTTCTGGTTTGGCAGAGAGCCAGCCCCCGGCGCGATACGTACCGCGTTCCGAAAGCTGGGCTCTGGCTTTGGGAGCTGCGACACCAAAAAAGTTCAATCTTGACTGCCTCGAGGTGAAGTGGTACCATCGGTATTGGAAAAAAGGGGAGCATCACACACCTGATTTTTCTTCCTCCCCCCCTTCCACCCACACATCACAATGGCAGCTTCAAGTAGGGGCGCTCTCGCCATTCGTGGCCTTCTGCGGAGTATGTTACTCTCCTAGCCGCTTCCTCGTCCAGCCGACAGAAAACACCCTCCCCTCCTCCGTTGACCCCATTCCTAACTTGCTCGGCAGCATCGTCCCCAAGACTGTGCCGACAATGCGCCACGACAGGTCTCCAGATCCGAGCCCCGAACCCTTGGCGAGCCTACTCAGGCGCCGCCGGGCGCCGCCCTCGACGGCAACAACGCCCCATCGACCTCCCCCCGACGACGACACGGACCCCCTCTGAGCCAGCGAACACCCCAGCAGCAGCATGGAAGTCCCACTACCGCATCCAGGCCCGGATCATCCTGACGCGGGCGCCGCTGCTGACGGCCGAGGAGACGGCGTTCGAGTCGGCCTTTTACTTCTACCAGAAACGCCTCAACGAGCGGCTCAGCATGCCCTTTGTCACGTCCGTCTACTTCAAGCCCGACACGCCGGCCCTCATCGACTGGAACCTCAAGGTCCGCGACCGCGAAGGGCACCGTCGCCAAGGAGCTCGGCGTCTACCACGGCAAGTCGGCGCGCGCCTGGGACGACGAGCTCGCCGCCGGCGACCCGCTGAGCTCCCGCGCCGCCGTCTACGACGCCCTGCTCCGCGACGCCACGATGCGCGTCAGCGACGACGCCGAGATCATCCCCGTCGAGGAGCGCGTCGGCGCCTGAGGCGCCCCAGAGCCGCGTCAACCAAGGCGAACCGCACCGGCAACGTCGGGGGGCCTCGACCGCCCCCCTCGACAGGACGCTGTACCTTCGTCCGTCAGGGGCAAGGAAGGGCCGTTGGTCTTTTTCCCCGCGGCGGCCGGTGGTTACGAATGAGCACCTGCACGAGGAAGGTCGTCCCTTTCTTCTCCCTTCTCTCCCCCCTTCTCCCACTCTACGGATATGCCCTGGAAAGGCAACCGTCCATCGAGACACGCGAGACTAACGTGTAGCAGACGGCCAAGAGGGTCATGGACAAGACGGCCGGCCTCGACATGAACACGTGGATGGTGGGCCGCGTGCCCGTCGCGCACCACGTCGTCCGCCCGGCGCTCGGCGAGGACGGCTCGCTGCAGAAGCGCGGCGAGAAGACCTTCTTCCTCAAGGCCCGTATCATGGCCGGCCAGGCCAACCTCGAGGGCAACCCCTTTGGCTACACCGAGTTCAAGTGGCTGACGGCCGAGGAGCTGAAGGCCAGCGTCGACGAGAAGTACTACCACAGCGTGCGGAACATGCTGGCTGACAGGTAGACGGGGGAAGAGCACGTGGGCGTCTGTATCATACCTACTAAATGTATAACATTGTGCAAAGGACTGCTGTTCCTGGGGGGTGCCTGCTGCTGTGCTGTGGCCACATGGGTGATTTGAGGATGGTGATGAACGGCTGGCGGCAAGTCGGGCAATATGTAAAGCAGAACTCAACACCCGACCAATGCCGAAGTGTCGTTCTACATGGTTCTCCCTGAAGGCTTGAATTGTCACACATAACCTAGAAATGCTACACAGGATACCAGTGCAGAGAGGTCCATGTAAAGCTCGCCATCACAGGCACCAACTCGACCCAATGCACCCGTCGCGTCACCTAGAAAATGCATGCGAGCAAAAAATATGGCCATGGTTTGATATTGAGATGCAAAAGGCAAAAGATCAATGCTGTGCGTGAACTGGGAATCGAACCCAGGGCTCCCCGATGGCAACGGAGAATTTTACCACTAAACCATTCACGCTTGTTGGATGATCTGGGATCCGCTCCATGGATACTTGATCTCTGTAGCAAGGTCTGGAACGCCTTCGGCTTCACAAGTAGGCATGAACCCGGCACCAGCCAGCCTATCTGGAAAAGAACAAGAACGCTCCGACAGACATGCCATGACTTCACATTGAGGGACGAAATCTTGCGAGCTGCTTGTACATGTTGTCCAATTTGTCCATGTTGTCGTATGGGCTTGATCTATCCATCTATATGCGCTATGCCCACAGTATGTAAAAGTCACCATGTGCCAAGTCCCAACTATCTCGTTGAGATGAACCACCCCGCCCAGAACGCCATCGCTATGATCATGCCAAGATGAGGCCAGAACCAACCGTGAATGAACATTAAAAAAAATATCAGAACAGGAAGACGGCGGCTGCCATGAACGTCACCAGCGCCACTGTTTCCATGCCCATCCTCGGCGGGCCCGTGGTCCTGGCTGCGCTCTTCGTGGAGGCGGGTACGTCGCCACGGCCGACGGGGTTCGAGATGCCGTTCAACTGGTCGGCCGTCTGGAGCGCGGGGCCCTTGTCGTAAAAGTCGACGAGGACAAAGGTGGGCGCGACGCCCCAGTCGCTGCGACACGTCTGAGCGTGGGCGCCGAGTGCGCCGGAGACGCCGCTCGTGCTGGGACTGTTGGTGGAGTCGATGAGGCCCTCGGCCGGGATGAGGATGCTGCTGGACACGGCCTCGTACATGAAGTGGTTCATCAGCGGCAAGAGGCCGGAGCCCATGGCGGCCGTTGCCGAGGAGATGGTCGTCGGGCGGTCGAGGGAGCAGTTGAAGCCCGTGGGGGCCGTGACCTGGAAGGCCGTCTCGAAGACGTATGTGAACTCGGGCAGGAGGTAGGGGTGCTGGGTGGAGGCGTCCATGTTGGTGACAAAGGTGACGAGGCGCGTGTTGGCGTTGATGAGAGACTGCAGCGTGGGCCAGGTGGAGGTGGCGCCGGGCGTCTCAGGAGCGTAGGCGAGAGACGAGAGGCCGGAGGCTTCAAAGGCCGAGGCGTAGGTAGCGGCGTCCTTATCATCCGAGTTGACGAGAATCAGGGTGACGACTTCATTGGGGTGGGCATCCATCCAGGTTTTAATGGGCCGCAGCCAGTCCTCGAGAAGACCGGCATCCATGAGACTGCAGCTGGAGTGGCAAAGGCGCAGCGTGTTATTCTGGAAGTGAACCTGAGACTGGAGAAGACGCAGGCCCGAGTCGAGGGCGACGGTAGCGTTAAAAAACTGGTTGCCGGAGACGGAGAAGCCCGTGGCCTCATCGCGAAGGAAGGCGGCATTGTGCGCACCCATGTGAGTGACATTGTTGTACGCCCTGTTACATAGCGATGGCGAATTGTTGCAAGCGGTCGACGAAGAAGATCCTGAAGTGGCAGCAGCTGCTGCTGAAGACGTTGAGGTTCCGGCCGTGCCATCTTGAGGAAGGGCCCAGGCTGTCGAGGCAGACAAGGCCACGACAGCCGTGGTCAGCCAGGCAGAGAGTGAGGGTGGGAGCATCATGGGCGGCGTGTGTGCTGCGTGCTGGGTGTTGCGTGCTGCGTGCAGTGTGCGGTAGATCTGTGAGTGTCTTCCGAGCAAGTCGAAGACGGGCACCGAAGAAAAAGAGCGAACTCAAAGGTACAAAACGATGGAAAGCTCGGTATGCTGTGAGAAGAAATAAAGCCCAAAGCGGAAACACGGCGTAGGAATAAAGGATGCAGGGCTTCTTTAAAGGGACGTGAAAGCTTGCCAGGTGCGTCGATCCAGAATCCTGGGATCGTAACCACATCGCCCCAGCCTCGGAGAGCGACAGGGGGGCCCCCCTCTTCAGACCCTTTGACGCATAAGGGCCTCCGGCGGCCTTGAGTGCCTTGAGTGCTTGAGTCCGTCGTCTCGACAGGCCGAGTCGACGGGTGGATCCTCAGTGGCCACAAACCCCTGGCATCTTTTCTGCCCGCAGCAGCCCCACCAGGCCGCGCAACCAGCGTCGGGGCCAAGTGTGCGTGTGGGCGGATGCTGGGTATCTTTGTTCGGTACAGTGCTGCGTCGGTACCTAGGTACGTAGGCACCCGCGGTAGGTAGGATCCTTAGAGGGCAAAACAGAGGGCCTCGGCCTCAGCGCCTGTCGTCAGAAAATGCCCGAGAGCTGCGCCCCCTCGAGGTTGTGCAACGAGCAAAGAGGGTCAAAGGGGTGAAACAACGCGCAACCAGAAAACCCATGCTGACTGACGACGTGCCCTCGATGTCGGTCGACGGAATGATCAAGCACCAATCCATCCATCTATCCATCCATCGAGAACACACCTTGGGACCTGATGCTGCTGTCCCATAGCAATCCACCGCAGTCGTGAGCGGTTTCTTTCCCTGGATATCGAGAGGCTGACCCGCAGACAAGTCGTCGATCATGATGACATAGCAAAGGGGAAACACCCATCACTCGTATTCTCGAAACTGGCGATCAGAGGTTGGTCGTCCAGGGGGGGGGTGCCCTCTTGCTGCACGGTTCGGTTGCCGTGGAGGCCGAAGCCGCCGATTCGACAGGGCACCCCATTTCACTGCGTCACATCGCTGGCCACTGGTCTCCGGGTCTCCCTCTGCGGTCAGGTATGCAGCTTCTCGTATCATGGGTATTGGGCGTAGGTGTGGGCAGTGCATTGCATGACACGATCTGTGGTGTGCAAAACCTGGTGCCTGATGTTGAAAGGGAAAGAAAAGAGTGGGGGTTGGCGTGTTTGCCCCTCCCCCCTCGACCTCGCCTTCGCCCCTCCAGCACCTCCCTATCACCGCCCTGTGATTCAATGATCCAGTGATTCAGCGATCCAGTAATCCAGTGATTCAGCACACCACACACAAGGCGTTTCGTACTGGCGCCGTTGCTATTTTTACGCGCCTGAACCAGCTTCAGCTTACTTAACCCACGGGAAGGCTTCGTCGACTGGTCGTGGTCAAGCTCGAGGCCACACATAGCCTGGCAGTGCACCTCCGCGCCAGTTCTGGCTCATTATCTGGCCCGGGCTACGTGTGCAAAAATGCGAGGTCGGAGCAGATCAAACATAATCACCGCGAACCTTGAATCCTCTGACAGCTGATCAACCACAGCCTGAACCATCCACGGTCATCAGTCGAGCCCCTATGCACTCGTTCGACTCAACTGCCACCCTTTGCACGGCAGTTGCCCGACGATCAATCCCTCCCCGCCAGTCGAGATCGACGCCCGCTCCCGCTTGGCGTTTGGGCCAAGCTTATGCGCACCATCCCCCCAATCTTGAGAGCACAAGCTTTCTTATCATGCTTGAGACAAAGTCCAGACGCCAACAGCGCTCAGATATGCCCATGAAGTTCATGTAAACTGATTCCCGCTCACTGGCCACGTCACGACATAGAGTTTGCGTCGTGTCCAGGGAGGCAAACATGCTGCAATTTAGTGACAATGATTGTTTTCCCCTTTTGGCCAATTTGCAACTTCCCAGAAGAACTATCTGTAATTCCGCTAAGAAGCTTTTTCATAGCTTGCTTTCTCTTTCGGCCATGGTTGCCCGATCACTGGACCGTGCTTGAACTGGCATGCATTCTGGATACGAGACTAACGATGCCACGATAGCTCCCTGTCGCTGTCACCTATGTGGTGGGCGGACCTTTATTCCGGATCGGGGGCGTAGCCTGACTCTGAGCCTGCGCCAGTGCCCGTCTGTGCCGCTTCCATCTCCTTCAGTGCCTTGCGGCCTTCCTCGGTCGTAGCATCAATAATCTGCTCCTCGAGACTGAGGATGCCGGCCTGTTTTGCGCGCGTGAGTTAGTAAGAAAGACTGGAAACCATGACAACAGAGCCCAACAGGTTCAACTTACATCGCCGAGCTTGGCTACGACGTCCTCGGCCGCTTCCACCGTCATGTTCCCTAGCACGTGGTTCACCTTGTCGAGGCTGCCCGTCTCGAGAGCCTTGCGGAACTCGTCGCTGAAGCTTTCAAAGATCAGGCGCGCCTCCTTGACCTCGACCTCCTCACTGTCCGCGGCGGATGCGATCTTGATCTCCGTGCCCGCTCGACAGCGTGCAGTGGATCTGCTCGACGCCCTCGGCCGGCTCCTTGGCCCGCTCGGCCACAATCTGGGGGGCCCGCGTCCGGATGCCGCGCGTACGTGTTCGTGACGTCCTTGTAGAAAGCCTCCCGCGCCCTGGTGGCCCTTTGTCGTGATGCGCTTGAAGAAACATGGCGACGCCCGTCCTTTCCGAGCGCCCGGCAGTACTGCAGCAGCAGCGCCTGGTGCACGCACTGCCGGCTCCAGTCATCCTTGCGCTCGAGCGCCGCGTCAAAGGCCATGACGAGCAGGCCGTCCGTCTCCCGCTCCGTCAGGATCTCCGGGTGCTTCGACAGGAACGACAGGCTGGCCGAGTAGTCGTTGGCGCGGATCTGCGCAAACAGCTGCGCCGCCGGCGACGCCTCGATCTCCTCGTCGTCGCCGTAGCTCTCGGTCGACGCCGACGGCGCGCCGGCGGCGGCGCCGCCCTTGAAGTTGGGGTTCAGGAGCTCGACCTCCTGCTTCTTGCCGTCCTTGGCCTCGCCCGGCGCGCCTTGGCCACGTGCGAGCTGTTGAAGCCGTCCTGTACCCTTCGCTCGTGATCTTGCGCCTCTCTTCTCGAGCTCCGCCAGCTTGACGACGAGCTGCGCTGCAGGCCCTCGACCTGTTGAGATGCTCGCGATGCGTCAATCATGCCCTGGTACCGGTGTCCGTGAGCCCGCGCTCGTCGAGGCTCTGCTGACCTGGTCGAGCAGCGTCGCCATCATTTTTGGAGTACGACGGCAGCGGGCTCCGACTCTGTGTGCACGCCCGCGGGGCCGCGGCGGCGGCTGGTCGTCCTCGGGCCGCCCCGCCGACTCCATGACGGCCTGGAACGCCACCTCGCCCGGGTTGCGCGTCTCGGCCACGGCGGCGTGCGCCTTGAGCGCCGACAGCAGGCCGGAGATGCGCCGCATCAGCCCATCGTTGATGACGCGCTCATACTTGAGCGTCTCGATCTGGTGCTTGCGCTGCTGCCGCTCCTGGTGGATCTGGTTCTGCTTGGCGCGGATGAAGGACCGCTTGTCGACGTTGGGGTGCACTTCAATGTCCGAGTCGTCGCTGAGCTCCAGCGCGTCCTGCACCATGAAGGGGGCTCCGTCAGTTTGCCTTGTCGTTTACGTGTCGGAAGGCCTGGGGGCGTGGAATGGAGGGGAAACTACTTACCCATTTGCTGTAGTCCACGGGCATTTTGGTGGTCTTGTTCAATTCTTTGTTCGTGATGAGTTCGACCTCGTGGTCTCGGTAGTCTTCATCTAGAAACGTCAAGAGGAGGAAGCAGCAGCAACAGCTGCAGTCATGGAAGGTTCTCGGTGGGCACCTCCCAAAACCCATAGCGGGGTACTGGAACGGTAGAGAGCAGGCAGTGAGGATCGTACCCCACCACTACCTTTATCTTATCGCCATCCCAGCTCTTCTGTAGTCAACCTGTGAATGTCCAGGTGCAAATCAACGAGATGCAGTTGTCCCGGTTTTTCTCCCGTTATTTCTTGCGAGCAGCTCTCGCATCATTACGTTAATTGATATAAGCCATGGTAAGCATCGCCCACAGACGTGTCAAATATATCGCTCGCCACCACCCCATTCCCGTCCATTGTTACAGTTGGTACATACAATAGCCATGCCAACGACCAAAAGCAATCCCTCTCAAGCAGAGCTAGGAGCCACAGCGCCGACCCTTTGGTTCTCCACGAACACGGGCCCCTGACCCAGAAAACTCCATTCATCCTTTCCCGGCAAGGCTGGTGTCCCTCGCCGTACCGTCGGCCACGTCCTACTGCATCGTCTTCAAGAAGCCGTCGAGGTCGAAGCTCTCTTCGTACTGACGGTTGTCCCAGAGATCGTCCAGATCGTCCATCCAGGCCTTCTTACCGCCCGGCTTATTGGTGATCACATCACCCGTCTCGACGTCCACCATGTCCTCTTCTCGTCCTTCCATCGGGTTCGGCTTGTCGCTGATAAGACCTGGCCCGGTGTCACCCATGTTGAACAGATCGAGAATCTGATCCGTGTCCATTGTCGACAGGCCTGCGTTCTGCTGGTTGACGACTGTCGACGCCACGTCAATCTTGAACCGTTGCAGACTCAGAATCTTCTCCTCAAGCGTGCCGCGTGTGATGAGACGATACACGTTGACGACCTTCTTCTGACCGATTCGGTGGGCGCGATCCATGGCCTGCAAATCCTTCTGAGGGTTCCAATCATGCTCCACGAAGATGACAGTGTCAGCGCCTGTCAGATTGAGACCCAGGCCACCGACGCTCGTCGTCAAGAGAAGGACGTCGTACGAAGGGTCTTGGTTAAACTTGTTGACAATAGCCTGTCGCTTGTTGGCCTCGACGCCACCATCCAGTCGGAGGAAGGACACGCTGGGCAGCATGCTCTTGAGAACCGTATTCTGGACCATGTCCAACATTTCCTTCATCTGACAGAACACCAGTGCACGATGCGGTTTGATGGGTTGGTACAAGGGATCGTTTGACTCGGCTCCCTCGACGCCAATACCACAGTCCACAAGAAGGTCGCGTAGGGCCGTCAGCTTCGGTGCATGAGCTGGGTCCTCGAGGCTGGTGCCCTGCTTGTTCAGCAGACGCTGCGTGTCGTCGTAGAGGTTGTGACCTGGCTTCATTACCAAAGCTGGCGAGTTGCATAGTTTGCGCATGTATTGCAAAGCTTGGAAGATGTGTGACTTGGCTTCTTTGTCGTCCTTGCCAGCTTCTTCTTGGAGCTTCTTACCTTGCTTTCGAGTAAAGTCGTCAAAGAGTTTCCTCTGCAGATCGCTCATGTCGCAATAGTAGTTTTGCAGAATCTTGGGCGGGAGGTCGTTGAGCACCTCCTCTTTAAGACGTCGCAATAGGAAGGGCAACACCTGCTTGTGCAGGGCCTCAATGGCCAGGGCACCCGCTTCCTGTTCTTTCGATGAAGCTTTACTGAAGCGACTCGCGGCGATGGGTTTGGCGAACCGGTCAAGGAAGACCTTTTCCGCTCCCAAGAAACCTGGCATCAAGAAGTCGAACAGGGACCAAAGCTCGAGAACGTTGTTTTGAATTGGTGTTCCCGTCAGAATCAATCGGTGGTTGCTAGGGAACCGCTTGACTGCCATGGTGATCTTGGCCTTTGGATTCTTGATGAGGTGACCTTCATCAAGAACGATGTAGTTCCAGTTGTACTGCGCCAAAATGTCGACATCGTTGCGACACACATCGTAGCTGGTGATCACAATGTCCGTCTTGTCGAGCGAGTCCTTCAGAGCCTTTCTCTCGCTAGGCGGGCCGACGTAGGCTGTCACGGTCAGAAAGGGAGCGTAGGTCCGCAGCTCCTGCGACCAATGACCCGAGAGGGTAGGCGGGCAAACGATGAGCGAAGGGAGTCGCCGAACATCGGGGGCGCCAGTCTTCGCAAACTCTTCAGCGCGCTGGTGATGGTCGCTGGAAACCATGCAGATGGTTTGAAGCGTTTTGCCGAGACCCATGTCGTCACAGAGAATACCGTGCAGATGATACTTGTTCAAGAAGTTGAGCCAGTTGACACCATCTTGCTGGTAAGAGCGCAGCTCAGCTCTGATGGCAACTGGGATCTTGAACGGTTCCACCTTCTTGGGATCGAGAAGTTGGGAGATGAACGTACGCTCTCGATCTCGTCCTTTGAGGAGCTCCTCCGACAGCCCCGGCGGGTCTGGAATACCAGCCTCGAGAGGCACAAGCTTCACGAGTGTAGCAAACGATGTGGTTGCGATGAGACGGATCTCATTGTCCGAATCACTCATGCGGCCCAGGACGGGCACGATGAGGAAGATGGTATATGGCAGAATAGCATCGCCCATGACAGCAATCAAGTGGTAGATCGCTTCAATCGCGCCTTGTCTGAAGTTGAGGTCGATAGGGTTGCTGATCGAGGGCAAGACCTTTTCCACAAGCGCGGTCATGCCCTCGACCGTCATAACGCTGCAGATCGTGGCCATACACTTCGCTGCCATGTAGCGGAAGACGGAAAGCTCGGAATGCAGCGCCTTGATGACCAGGGGTACCATGTCCATGACAAAGGGATGCATCGCCTTGTCCATAGTTGGCATGAGGGTTCGGATGAGGGACATGGCGTCCACAATCTCCTGGCCAAAAGTCTCCTCAGCATTCTTTGCTTCGGCGGGCAGATCGCCCGAGAAGGCCTTGACAAGGGGCTCCTCCATAAACACCCTCAAGACAGGCACGGTAGTGAGCAGATCGGCGCCGTAATTCCTTGACAGGATCTCGAGAGCCTCCTTTGCGCCGCGCCGCGTGATGCGCGCTGCCTTGGCTTCCTTGGCCCATTTCGCAGCGTCAGGATGGTCAACCCTATCTTCCTCCTTCTGCATTGACAAGATGCAATTCGTCTTGGCTGCATGTACGGGGAACTCTGGAGTTTCGGCAACCTCAACGCAAGAGAACTTGACGAGATTTGATACGACCTTCTCAGCAGGGCCCTTGCGTCCCATCTCGGTGAAGAGCTGAATGAGTCTTGCAATTGTGTTGGCAGAACGGCTTTGAAGCTCGTGGTTTTCCTCAGTCTTGATGCTGTCCATGACGCCCTTGATGAGGGGGCTGGGTTTCTTGGGCAGCGCCTTGATGGCGACAAGTGCGCAGGCAGCGGCAGCCTTGACACGCACATCCCTGGCGTCTTTTGCTGACTTTGCATCCGTAATGGCTGTGGTTGTAACATCTCGGGACTCAGCCAGCATCTGACTTGCAACAAGACGCTGGCCGGGTGACATAGCCTTCTTGAGTTTGTCGAAGTCCTCGTTGACGACCTTCTCGGCCACAGCGACCGAGAACGCGCCAGGTCCGGCTTCTGCCTCGCCCTGTACGACGACAGCGAGGGTGGGCAGCTTGCTGCTCGATACTTTGCCATGGTCTCTAAACATGTTAAGCAGTTGTGAGCACTGAGACCGCACGCGGTGCATGTAGCTGACTAGATCCCTATAGTGGGAGGGTCGTTCTGTTTCGATAATGCTCTGCACTGGCTTGGTGAAGCGTGGCGAGACCTCGCCGGCACAGTTCTTTGCGTATTCCTCAATGACAACACATGCAGTGAGCTCTGTCGACGAGAAGGGCGAAGCAAGAGCAGGTAGAATATGTTGCTCGTATTCGACAAGCCTGTCGACAGGAATGTGCGCCATGAGTAAGCCTATGGCCTTTGCAGCTGACATTCTCGACCGGATCAAGGTATCCATGCCAACAAGGTCGACATCGCCTTGCATCATGTGGCCGTCGACATCGTGAGTATGAGTGGCAACAGGAGCATCATCGACCTTGGTGGACTTCCGCCGACGCTTAGATGCCCGTTCTCCGTCTGGCGAGGCCGCTTTCCTGACTGGGGCCACGGGCATGGCGGCATTTGTATATGTGCCACCTGAGGGTTTCTGGAAGAGCGTGGCATTCATAGGAATTGGATTGCGAGACACGCCAATGGGGTGTAGAGCCAGTTGCATCATGGGCTCAACTGACGCGGCGTCGGCAAGTTCTGTAGGATTTTGGGCGAGAGATGTAATGAGTGACGACCAGACCTCTAGGGACATCTTGAGAGTCTCTCTATCCCTCTCGACCAATACGTTCTGGAAGATAAGTCGCAGAAGCTTCTCTCCGAGCCATCCACTGGAACGCTGCTTTTCCAACCCAATAAAGGTCATCAGAGCCTTCAGAACAGCAAGTCGAACTGAAGTAATGGTGTGGCGGAGGAAAGGATAGAGTCTGGGGACAAGAACGTTGAAAGTCCGTTCCTCATCTGTGTCGGCGGATGTTTGCATTGCCTGCAGCACCTCGGGGAAGCTGCACAGCGTGGCAAGGAGATCCATAATCTTGCCTGTGCTGGCGCTGAGGTCGTCACCTAGATCCTGGAGGCTGCCCCAGACAATGTTGATGAGGCCATCGATGGCGGCAGGCCTCATGGTGACGAATTCCTGGGCCATAGGTAGTAGTGTTGCTGCGCTGACGGAACGCACATCGTCGTCTTGGTCCTGAAGGCCCTTCATAACAGCAGATATGACGCCGTCGATCATCTCGCCGTCCTCGAGGAGCAAGTCTTTCCTGACTGCGACGACATATCTCAGACCAACCATGCCTCCGTGGCAAACAGCCCAGACCTTGCCGACGCTTAGGTCGGTTTGCATGACCATGCGGAACAAGACCTTGTAAATATCATGCACACACTCTGGCGGAACGTGGCGAAGCACGGCACCCATAGTCTGGCCGATAGATTCCCGAATTGGGGCAACAGACATGTCGGAGCTGTAATCTGTGAAGCGGTCGAGCATCAGCACAGAGGCCAGCCTGCAAGCGAGGTCATCGAGCCATGCTTTGTTGAGTTTGTCGTTCTCCTGGCGCGACTTGGCCCGCATCCTGCCTGCACCTGCGCCATGTACTCGAATGACTTCGCGAAGGCCCATGGCCGCTCCATGACGTGTCTCCCAGGTAGGATCGAATATGTCAATCTTGAGAAAGTCACACAACCTGTCGTAGGGCCATTCTGTGCCTTCCATGGTGTCCTCGGCTTCTAGCTCCGACTTGATAGGCAGAACGGGGCCTTTGAACTCGCTGACAACCTTGGTGTCCTCATCAACATCTGCGGGTCGCTCTAAGCTGAAGTAGTCGCTCTTTTTTGATTCAGCCTCGGGCATGGGCGTATCGTCTGCAAGGCCTTCAGAGCCTGCAGTGGCCGTCCTCCGTATGGACAAATCGCCAAAACCACCCTTGGCAGCCTTTTGGGCTTCTCGCTTCCGCTTGCGCTTCAGAACGTTGAGCTGTCGTGAGCTCAAGCCTGACTCCTCTGTGGACTGGCCCTGCCCAGCAGCATTGCTGTCGCTCCGTGACAGGCCGTTACCATTGCTGTGGTCGTGTGGTGTCGATGGACTGGGATCCTTCTCAATAATGATGGGCATCTCTTCGTCCTCAAATCTCCGACCTAGGAGTCCGAGCCGTCCGTTCAACGTCTTTTTTTGGTGAGCAAGTCGAGATTGGGGGTCCAACGCCGCCAGGTTGTACTCAACGGAGCCGCCTCTGACCAGTTCGCGGCCAAAGTTCAGAATGTTATCGAGGTTCAGTGAGTCCAGCTTGAACAGCTCGTCTTCGGCGAAGGACGAGTCCTGCTCCTCCTCCTTCTTCACCGCGCCATTTTCATCGTCCTTGGGCGCTGGTGGTGGAACATCGTCCTCGTCCTCATTGGGATCGTAAAAGGGGGCATTTTCAACGATCTTGCCGATGGCCTTGGCTGCTGTTGACCTGGTCTCCCAGTCTTTGTGACGAAGATACGGAACAACCCTAGAAAGAAGATTGAAGAGCTCGTCTGGGTGCTGTTTCTGCCAATCGGCAAGTTGGCTCACGGCCGTGTCTCGAATGAGACGAGTGCTTCCCGTCTCAAGGATCCTGCAAAGTGTTAGATGAATTCTAAGGTAGAGTTCTGGGTGCAAAGAGAAGCGGACCCTCGAGAAGAGGGGGTTGCTTCTGAGAGCATTGAACGCGAATGAACTCACGTGACGATCCGGTCGAGTCTGTCTACTGATTAGCGTTTGCAAAGAGATGGCTGTTCAAGAGAAGCACATACCTTGATGCCATGATGACTTTTGAGTGAACTCAGAAAAACTTCATTCTATGAGGCTATCTGGTGTCTGTCAATGTGTGAGCTTCATGCTAAGCGTTCGGGTTGAAAGGCAATAACACAGTATATGTATATATTGAGGTTGTGTGTAGGCAATGGCAAAGGCCAGAGGCACAAATGAAAAGGGGCAAACGGGGATATGCAGAAAAAGGTGGCTTACATGAGTCTGTGGTTGTTTGAACGAAAGTACCAAGCAGGTACTGTCGCGTCGCGAGAGGAAGCCAAGCACGCTCACGCAGGTAGCACCATAGTGCTACCTATCATAAAGAAAATTTGTTGTCGCAGGTTTGAGACCGGAATGATACTTTGCGACCTCCAGATGCGCGTTCTCGATGAGTCTGTCTTTCGAGCGTCGAGGACTTGATTATGGATGAATATGGTTGGGTTGTGATGTCGCGGTTGAGTGGTCGCAATCGGGGTTGGGTGCAGCTGCCAGCAGGTGGGGATTGGTGCAGCAGTCGCGAAAAAGAGCGACAGCAAGTGGCCGGGACTTGGGGGGTGGGTGGAGGAGCAGTCAAATATGGCACAGGTATCTGGGTAGTATTTTTATACTTTTGATCGTGGAGCAGTCCAAAGACCAATGGACGTTCCTTCACGCGAAGTGCACGGCGGCTGCTCTCGCTTAACAGGCTAGCGTCATCCCCAGGCCCACCTGCCATTTGTTGGTTTGCCTCTCTTTTCCTTCCTTGCCTGGCTTTGACAGGACATGCTGCCTCTTGTCTGCCTGTGCCTGCCTGCCGGTCTGGTCTTGCTACCATCATGGCATCTGTATTTCCTGGTTCTTCTCTCTGATCTTTCTCTTCCATCTCCTGCAATTGCTTTTTTCTCTTATTTCCCAGCAATCGATGCACATTCATCAGAAGCTGACACGATCAGCCATGACTCCAATGCACTCATGGTATCGTCCATCAATTCTGACTTTTTGACTGACACTACCTACCGCATCACATCGCATCGCATCGCGGCGCGACATGGGGCAGTCGGGGGGTGTTGGCCTGTCGCATGGCTACGCCCATCATTGCAGCCAACGGGGCTGCCGTGATGGTGAGCATGATCGGCGACGGGGCTCCTGCGTTGCTGGGTCCTGGCCCTGTCCCTTTTTTCGAGGTGGAGCTCCTTGACCTCACTCATTCATCGCAGATGGTGGAGGTTGGGTCCAGGGGTACCATGGTTCTCATCCCTGACGAAGGTACCTGCAACAACTCAAACTCTGACCCTCACTTGTCCCATCCAGCTTCTCAGGTGCTTGCTGGTCATACCGCGTCCTGTTCCCGCACAAGATCCGGCAGTGTTGCGGAGTTCAGAAGACAGTCATGTACCTGCCTGCATGTGCAACCCGTCCAGGTTCGCCAGCCTGACACATGCGCTGCAATAGGCTGTTTGCAGCCTTGCCTTGGGTGCTGCTGGAACATCCGTTGGCTCCGGACTGACCCGGCAAGATGGTTTTGTGTGCCGCCCTACCGACACCAATGTATCTCTGCAGCTGAAGGTACTTCGCAGGCACGTTTCCACCACTCGTAGACAGGACTACTTTGCCAACACTGTCAGAAGCACAACGACCCGTGCTGGTGGCTGTCGTCCACGGTATACGATGCAGGCAAGCTGTGCACATCCCAAGGAGTTCGAAGCAAGACCCGTGGTCAAACCAGAATTGATGTACGTGGCATCCAGCGGCGTGGGGTCGAGGATGGTAAAGCTTGGCGCACACTAGGAGGGTTCAGGGCAGCGCCGGTTGTCCCTAAGTGGCATCCAAGGCATCCCAGTGCGGCCCAGTGGCACGCCATCGCGGATCAGTCTCGGAACGTCAATCTTCTGGCCCTGTCACCACTTCGGCCCTCAGAATTCCAACGCCTGTCATCAATCAGGACAGGCCCATCCAACGGGCATTCCATCCACCCGTCGAGTATGGGCCGCCGAATGCCAGTCATATAAGTCCAAGATTGAACAAGAACAAAGGGGATTTTCTGGCTATTGCACGTCCTCGTTAGCGGGCATCGACATGATGATTTCATGTCGGCACCTGCGGCAGGTCGCAGATCTACATGTCGTCTTGTGGTCCATGCTCCCCAAAGCTCTGGATCATGATCCACATGGCCGACTCAACGGCCAGTTCTAAGGACCGGAAGCCCTGGAAAGGCGTTTCCATTGTGATTGGAGACACATCACCACCACAACACGGCAAACGAGGCTGTGTCGAAAAACTTGGTTACTCGCCTCTGCCAGCCATGCCAGCAAGGATGACTGGCGGATGAAACCACGCTGACGATTGATGCATTGTGGCAGTCCCAAACCTACCCAGATAGATCGGCTGATCGAGCCAGATAAATTGGCCCGCGGCGGCGATCAGGCACAAGCGGAGAGCTATCCCCCATCTGCATCCGCTCGACAGTCCTTGAAAGCTGCTCGCATCTTCTGAATCAATGCTGGCCGTCTATGGCTCGTAGATTGTACGTGCATTTCCTAGAATGATGGGACCCAAGGCTTTATGTAGAATGATATGTGCATGCAAACTCGATGGTACCCATAAGCCACACTGTGGTGAGAGTTTCCATTGACTCACCAGCCATCAGGACGCTGCCCCGACCCCTGCTTTGTGTGCCACCGGTTGATGGACCAGTCCATGTCCGTCCGACATGGTAATACGAGTGATATGATTGATGAGTACGAGTCGCCATAACAGGCTCTGTTCATGGGTCTCTTCGTGTCCCAGCTCCAACTGGGTACTGTGTAAACCTCCGTCGAAAGACTGTGTATCTACTGTACGACCCCGCTGAAGTCAATTTGCATCCACTACGCACGCACCAACTCGCCCACGCGCCTGCGCCTGCGCCCGCGACTCTGTCCATCGCGCCCGACGCGTCGCACTCAACCCTATCAATCCACCAGAGACTTCGCATCAAGCGCACCGAAACGAAGCCGCAATCAGGCCACCAGGTCCGCGCCTACATCACCACACCCATCAACTGACGCGACTGCTCGATATCGGCTGCCTCCTCAGGCGCGCCGGCCGACCTCCACCATGTACATCAAGCAGATCATCATTCAAGGCTTCAAGAGGTTCGCGCCTTTTACCCCCTCCTTCACCCCTCTCCGATAGCCACCTGAGACCCGTCTCGCTGACTTCTCTTTACAGCTATAAGGACCAAACAGTCATTGAGCCCTTCTCCCCCGGCACCAACGTCATTGTCGGCCGCAATGGCTCCGGCAAAAGCAACTTCTTCGCGGCCATCCGGTTCGTTCTCAGCGACAACTACAATCAGATGAGCCGCGAGGAGCGCCAGGGCCTGTTGCACGAGGGCTCCGGCTCTGCCGTCATGTCGGCCTACGTCGAGATCATCTTTGACAACTCGGACGACCGCTTCCCGACCGGTGGCAAGGAGCTCATCCTGCGACGCACCATTGGCTCGAAGAAGGACGAGTACTCGCTCGACCGCAAGGTCGTCACCAAGAACGATGTCATCAACCTACTCGAGGCTGCCGGCTTCTCGAGGTCCAACCCCTACTACATTGTTCCGCAGGGTCGCGTCAGCGCCTTGACCAACATGAAGGAATCCGACAGGCTAAACCTCATGAAGGAGGTTGCCGGTACGCAAGTGTACGAGGCCCGTCGCGCCGAGTCGCTGAAGATTATGAATGAGACGAACAACAAGAGGGAAAAGATTGACGAGCTGCTCGGCTACATCAAGGAGCGACTCGCCGAGCTCGAGGAGGAGAAGGAAGAGCTACGGGGGTTCCAGGACAAAGATCGGGACCGCAGGTGTCTCGAATACGCCCTGTACTACCAGGAACAACAGGCCTTCCAGAGCCAGCTCGAGCGCATCGAGAATATGCGCCAAAATGGCCTCGAGAGCACAGAACAGATCCGCAACGAACTCAAAGATGCCGAAAAGACCATCGCCAAGCTCGACGCTGAGATCACCAAGTTGACGCGCGAGATGGACCTTCTCAAGATCGATCGGCGCCAACTGGACGAGGAGCGTCGCAAGACGGCCAAGGACAAGGCCGTGTCCGAGCTCAAGGTGAAGAACCTGTTCGACGGGCAGTCAGCGGCAGCGCAGGCGCAGCAGCAACACGACGCCGAGCTCAAGGCCGTGCGCAAGGAAATGGCTGACAGCAAACACGAGCTCGAAAGGATCACGCCTGTTTATGATGAACGGAGAAAGAAGGAGAACGAGATTCGACTGCAGATGGACACTGCTGAGGCCGCTCGCACTCGCCTCTACAACAAGCAGACTCGCAGCTCTCAGTTTAAGAACAAGGCGGCGAGGGACAAGTGGTTGAGAGACGAAATTGAGGACTTGCGCACCAATATCATGTCACAAAAGGCAAACAAGTTGACCACCGCCGAGGATGTCGCTCGAGTAGAGAACTCGATTCAGCAGCTCGAAGCTGAGATGGCTGAGCTGAGATCGCAACTCGAAGGCTTCGGCGGCGCAGAGACGATCTCGAACAAGACGCCGCGAAAGCCCAGGACGTCCTCAATTGCTTGCAAGACGAAAAGCAGCTGCTGTCTCGCGATGAGGAGAAGCTCAGACACATGACTGAAACGGCATTGCACGAGAAGCACGATGCCGAGAACAGGCTGGGCCACTCGATGGATGGCGCGACAAAACGTGGTCTCGCGACAATTCGCCGCCTCAAACGTGAGCAGGACGTTCCCGGTGCATACGGTACTTTGGCGGAGCTGTTCGAGGTGAACGAGGCCTACCGCCTGGCTGCCGAGCAGATCGCTGGAAACAGTCTGTTCCACTATGTGGTGCAAGACTCGCGGACGTCCGAGTTTATCATTGAACAGCTCAACAGGCAAAAAGGTGGTCGTGTTACCTTCATGCCGCTCGACCAACTGAGGCCACGCCAAGTCAATCTTCCCAGGTCACAGGACGCCGTGCCTCTGCTCAGCAAGATCAGATACGACCCCAAATACGAGAAGGCCTTCCAGCAAGTCTTCGGCAAGGTTGTCGTGTGCCGCACCCTGGCTATCGCGACCCAGTACGCGAGGAGTCACGGTGTCGATGCCATCACTCCAGAGGGTGATCAGGCGAGCAAGAGGGGTGCCATGACTGGTGGCTACATAGAGCCTGGAAGGTCGCGTCTGGAAGCGGTTCATGCGCTGAACCAGACGCGAGACTCGCACGAGCATCTGCAGTCACAGCTCGAGGAGCTTGGCCACCGGATTGAGCAGAAAGGGCAACAGATCACACAGGCCATGGGCGAGCTTCAGAAGGCCGAGCAAAAGCTCCGCCATCTCCAGGGCGGGTTTGACCCGCTACGAAATCAGCTCAGCAGCAAGCACGCTTACCTTGAGCGGGAGAAGGCGCATCTCGAGGCCGCCATCAAACGCCGCGAGAAGGTGGAGAAGAACATGAAAGATTTCACAGAGACTCTGGCTGCTCACGAAGCCGAACTCTCGAGCGAATTCAAGAAGGCACTCTCCCCCGCCGAGGAGCGCCAGCTGAGTGAGCTGGAGAAACAGGTCGACCAACTCCAAAAAGAGTGGAATGAGACGAGTCGGCAAAGGGGCGAGGTCGAGCGCCGCAAGCAAATTCTCGAGGCCAACATCAGCGAGAACCTTGAACAGCGGCTGAACCAACTCATCAGCCAGGAGATCGAGAACACGGTGTCTGGGCCATCAGGCAACCTGAAAGAGGCGCAGCGTGAACTCAAGAGGCTCCAGAAGGCCGCGGACGAGGTGGAAACCAAGCTCCAGGAGACCGAGACTCAGATCGAGCAGCTGAGCGGCAAGGTTGCTCGCCGTGAAGTCAGCAAGGCGGAGAACGAGCAACATCTTCAAGAAATATCTGTCAAGGAGGCCAAACAACGAACCCTCATCGAGAAGAGCCAGTCAAAGAAGGCAGTCTACAGTGCTCAGGCAGCGGATGCCGCGAAGGCCATCCGTGACCTCGGCGTTTTGCCGGACGACTTCAGCAAGTATGAAAACTTGGACTCGAAACAGGTAAGCTACAGCCTTTCCGATGGCTACGAGTGCACATGACTAATGACAACAAACAGATTGATTCGAGGCTCAAGCGAGTTCGCAACGCCCTCAAGAAGTACCAGCACGTCAACAAGAAGGCCTTCGAACAGTACAACAGCTTCACCTCGCAGCAGGATCAGCTCTTGAAGCGACGCTCCGAGCTTGATGCTTCGCAGCGCTCCATCAAGGAACTCATTGAGCATCTCGACGAGCGCAAGGACGAAGCCATTGAACGCACGTTCAAACAAGTGTCGAAGGAGTTTGCCACCATCTTTGAGAAGCTCGTGCCTGCGGGTCACGGCCGCCTCGTTATCCAGCGACGCACCGACAAGCGACAGATTGACCCGGAGAGTCGGGATGACGTCCAGCGCGCAACATCGAAAACTACACTG